AATCAGTAGAGAAGACTCTTTTTAGCAAAATAGAGCTTTCCCAAGAACGAGGCAGTAAATCTCATCAGAGATAGGCCCAGATTAAAAGACTGCATATTAAAGGACTGTGCAGTTCTGTGCAGGATGGGGGAGGAGGAGAAGATCAGAATAGCTACATCCTATAATTTTTGTAGGATATATCTAGAAGGTTAGAAGGTTACAGCTTTAGTTTGGTAAGATTCTGTCCATTATTTGTAAGCAAAGGATTGGACTTGATTGGATTTCCTTGTGTCATTTAGGCTTGAGCCTGACAATCACCTACCCAAAACTTAGATTACTACAGAATAATTCAATCTTGGTATTTACAGTTGTGGTAGGCTAGCCTTTCCCTACCTCAGTACCTTCTGGTGTATAAATTTCAACTCCCAGAATTCTCAATAATGATCACCTCAGAGAATTCTTTGAGTAAAATTCATGCATCTGGGAGACACCAAGTTGGGGAAGGCAGGATTAAGCTGCTATCATCTTTCCTGTTGAATGGAAAGGGAGCACAGAAATTCACTTATTTGCCAGGAGATGTAAAACTAAAGAATAAACTAAAGAATATATATTTAAAATACAACAGAAAAAAGGTACACTGAATAATTGGCTTTCAAAAATATAAACAGTCCAGCACTAAAACAGTTAACTCATTTTCTTAATAAACCCCAGCAAAATCTCCAGCTAAGCAATAAGCTATGCCACAGTGAATAATAGTTAAGAAAGAAGAAGATTGTGGCAATAAAACAAACAAAACAAGAAAGGGCAAAGGGAGTTAAAAGAAACCAACTGTAGGAAGAAAAACTCAAAGAGAAATCTGGTAACTATAGTAACCAAACCAAACTAGAACTTATCCTCTGTCAAACCTATCCCTTGTCAAACCCAAATTTTCACACTTCAGGCCTTTTCCCCATAACAAAGAGAACAGAACTTCCCTCCCTTCTGTGTTTGCCTTTTATACGGTAAAACAGATGTTTCCCAGTCTCTGATTTGTGCTAACATTAACTTCTTCCCTTATGCATTCAGCCAAATCATTGTGATCTCAGATTCCTGATTTCTGGGAAGTTTCCATTCTGCAACACAGACAACCACCCACATTGGGGCTAACTAAATTAATCTAAAACCAATCGAAGTGTGGAACGTTTCTCTTTAAAATAATTGTCGTTCTTTACCCACACTGCTTTATCACTAGAGCTATTAGAATTGAAATTTTCCAAACCTGACATCCACTGTTTTATTACACTCATGGTCAAACACTTCAAAAGCTTCTGTGATCTTCTTTTGGATTTCTGCTATTGCAGATTCTATAAAGCAAAAAATTAAAATTCAATCAGAGTATACTTTTTGTCAAAATTAGCAGTAAAGTATTCATTAAAAGCAGCATAGCAAACATTTTGAGCTTTCTAGAGTTAGTTTTGTTGTTAGGTGTAATATAGGTGGATAAATGAGTGGGACAAAATTCTGTTTTCACTGTCAGTCTCACTGTCACTGTCCTGATTTTCTCTTTTTCATCAATTTTGAATGTGAATGTCATCCCTCAATCTTTTGTGCTAAATTTGACATTGCATTAATCATATGCTAAGTGCAGTAAAAACACCATTTGATGGAAATAGAGGATGTACCAGAATATACTGAATGCTCTGAGAATAGTTTGGCATTGAGCAGGGAGTAAGACAATGTGTGATATCTCCCTATTTAGGATGTTTATGGATAAAGGAACAGTTGTGGTGATGCTAGAGGTCTATTGATTGGGAATGTAAGTAAATGTGCATATACTCTTGAAGGCTGATAATCACTGTTATCGGCTGAGTACCTAAATCCCAATAGAAGAGAACATAAATTACTCAGGGTTGAATTATGGAGTCCAGGTGCTTTCTGAGCTTGGTTGTTTTCTTGCAGACATTTCATTACCCAACTAGTTAACATCATCAGTATGTATAAATAGGGATTTTCTCCCTGTTTATATATATAGTAGCTTGCCCTGCCAGTGTTGCTGGGTGCGTAATTTTCTCTTTGATAGCTCCTTGATTAAGATATTGTTTTCTGCTTGCTTGTCTGGTGTTGATCCCTCTTATCAGGATGTTAGCTGCTGGAGAGGATGTGTTCTACCCTGCTCAGCTTTGCTTTTGGATTGTCGGGCAGCCTCGGTGAGTCTGAAGGGGCACGAGACCATGCCCCCAAAAGACTTCTCTTTTCCACACCAAAAGCTTTTTCAAAGGAATGAAAGGGGAGCAATCTCATGCTGCTTCAGGCCGTCTGTCCCTTTGCAAAAGCTTTTGGCACAAAGAAGTATGAGCACGAAACTGCACCCCAAAGTCTTCTCTTCTCTCATGTGAGTGGAGCTGTGCGCATGCACCAGCCCACTACTTGCATTGCCCAATTCTACTCTCCCTCCCAGCAAGGTCATCAAACCACAAAGATTGGGGACTGCTGCCCTAAAAAATTGTGTGTATATGTGTATACCCACAGATATACATACATGTATAAATATATGTATACATATAGGGATCGAATCTCTCTAGGTATCTGGGGTTTATTCAAAACCACTATTGAATACATATGAATATTGAACAAATGTAGCACAGATCAGGAGGGGACCAAGTTTACACCAGCATTATCAAGATTTCCTATACAACAGTTCCTAAATGAACTGTTGTAAGTTGAGGACTACCTGTACTTTAAACTACGGCGTTCAACTTGTCTCTGAAAAATCATGTCTTCTTTATGTTTCATTTTAGTAAGGACATTGTTAAACTGGTGTCATCCACAATAGTGATGAAGAATCAAGATACTGTACTGTTTTATGAGAGATAAAGAGCTATAATTACAATTTTGAAATGACTGTCAGCATTTATTTTTTTTATTATCATTTGTCTTTCTATTAGTAGCGCTCAATAAGAAATCAGGATATCCTTTACATAAATCAGTAAATTGTGGAAGTCTCTGCAGGGTCCAATATAGTCACATCAAAATTATTTCCCCTTTTTAATACATATAAAGTATACAGATACAGAGTTATCCTGTTCATTTAAACAAATGACTTGTCTTTTATGTATTGCTATTCTTTATAATGAATATTCTGGGTGGGTATGAAGTCACTTGCCAGTGGCAAACATTTGAAAAAAATCTTTAAGATCTATAATTTTTTTAAAAATTTCAACAAAGCTATACATTGTAAACACATTTGATAAATATGCATCAATATGATAAATCTTCAGAGACAGTTAAACCTACAATACAATGGAAACTAATTGAATAAGAAAAATACAGATGGTGAGAGTCAGGAAGAGATTAAGGAAGTAAGATAAACCATATAGGCAAAAATAGTTGGGTCTGAGAAAGGAAGAAGAGAAGCTATAAAAATATATAGGAAATGGCTAGCCAGGAAGGATAGGTTGAATGGAGAATAAGGAAAATAAGCTGAATAAAATAAGAAGAGAGGCACACTGAATTGAAAAGCAGGAAAAGAACTTATTGTTTAAAATGGGGACATAAATATATACTGAGTTTAAAATAACCATTTAAATGTCTATTTTTTCTTATTCTTATTGTATATGTGAATATGATTTAGTATGTTATCAGGAAATGTGTATAGGCGGACGGAAAGAGTGTAACCTCATACTACCTCAGCCAATGGGGAAAGAGGAGGGCTGTAGCGGCCGGTGATAGGGATGAATAAAAGAAGGAGATATTTTGGGTTAAAACTTTGGAGAGAACCAAGCTTTGAGAGCTTCTCTCCCCGCTTATTGCAATAAACGAAACAAAAGGCCTTCACTGTGTCTTGGCTGGTTATTGGTCAGGCGAGCTTGCCTCTGGTCACGAAGGAAAGTAGCCAGGAGCACATAACACATTCCTATCCTGTAATTTACAAATATTATGGTCAACATTTTAAAGACAGGCCTGGATTTGTATACTTAAATGTTGTATTTGTGAATAAATCTGTTAAATATTTCTTTCCTGATATATTTTAAGTAATTACACATTTCAAATTTTACTTTCTTTATCCAATTTGTTTGGATTTGAGATAAAAAACACACCTGCTATATTTATCTCCGTTGCCCTAAGAATGTTGAAGCACTCCTATGTTTGCAAAATAAGCCTACCCATTATTTACATAAACATGGTTCACTAAATATCACATTTTGTTGTTTTCATGACACATTGAAGCATAAAATATCTACAGTCTATATTTTCCTACATTTTGTACTAAAATATAGTTAGTTTAGTTTGACTCAATACAGTCTACAGGACACAGTCACAGTAACAAGAACAACTTCTGATTCTTTAAAGATGAGTGGTGGTGAATCACACATGATTTTTAATAAGTCTAGGTGCCAATTTTTTTTTTAATGCCACACTATATGTTTCCATCTTAGAAAGGCTGCATTAATAAAGTAGTTGCTCTGGACTATCTTGAGGGCAGCGCTCCCAGTTCTCAAGCAAACCAAATACTCCCACATCAATGAATGCTTTGAAATAGGAACGAAGTCTGTATCAAGTTGGAGAAGGCACACATTGGTAGAAGTCTCTGCTATCGCTGATAATAACAGGAGTTTTGAAATTCAGAGTTTTGTCTCTAGCCCCGCAAGGTATGGAGCAGCATGGCTACATTTTGTTCCGAGGATATATGTGAGGAAAGAAGGGAAAGAAACCCGGGTTTGTACTGAGAGACCGAGGAGAGTCCTACTGAACGTAAATAAACTTGAAGGTGAGGCGGTAGGCCAGGAAAAAGATGTAACCTAACCCTGCGTTCAGCGAAAAGCCTTTAAAAAAAATTGTAGCAGGCAGCGGGCTCGGAGGTACAAAGTAGAGAGGAAATGGTGAAGCTCCTCTCTAATCCCCCGTTCTTACCCGCAGCGACTCCTTCACGCTCCTCCGTCGCCATGGCGGCTTCTTAGCGGTCGCCATGGAGACGTTCGACACGGGCCGGGTCCCAGCTAGTGTTTCTCTCGGCTTTCCCAGTCACCGCCCAGAGGCGACGCCCTGCCTCCCTCCGGACCTTCAAGTTGAGGCGCAGTTTCATTGCAGGTAAAGTGTCCCGCGCGCTGCTGGATTTTGCCAGCAGCGACCTTGTTACCAATTTGCTGTTTAAAAGTGCTGTTTAAAAGTGCCTCTCAGAAACTTATGGCTTGGTGTTTTGTTTTTGTTTTTTTTAAATATAACGCAAGGGTTTATAATTATTACCATGTGGCCAAAAGAAGAGGCCATATCGCTTAAGTCTGCCTCAAAGCCACATAAACAGCATTACCATTTGGAAACTGGGAAACTTTCTAGGAAGAGTATAGTGTGTAAATACTTAACAAAAACAGGAACTAGCTGGGCAAAAGATACCAGATGAAAAGGACTAAACCTTGATTTGGTGAGCCTCATAAATGTTAAAGGTGCATGCAGTCCTCTGGAGAATTTTTTACTGATTTAATTCTTTTTAAAATCATGAAATTTTTAAGAATGAATGCTTCCAAGATAAATCTGTCTTCTGTTTTGAGATGCAGTATTGTTTAATCTAGGGTCTGGGGTAAATTTTGGTATGGTACCAAACCATTACTTGTTTAATCATAGTTTATTGAATATACTACAATTGGCTGAGACATTAAGCCATGAACCGCTCTTTTATAAAACAACTGTCTTCATAAATCATATCCTTTGTGTTTTATGTGAACTGAGTTTTAGGGCTGAAAATTATTTTAAATACACTGTTGCAGCTGTGTAGAGGAATATGAGATTAGAAAAAACAAGTAATATGCATTTACATGCATGTTATAATATTTTTCTTTTGAATTAAGACAACTTTTGGAAAAAGTGGCAAGCAAACACATTTTAAGCCAATTTGTGTACTTTGTCTTTAAGCAATTGCTTCTCCAAAACTCCAGTTGTGTTGCTTCATGGGGGGGAGGACTGTTCTTGGGAGGGATGAGTAAAAAAACATGTCAAGAATATATAAACTTAGAAAGCTCACTGCTTTGCTGTCCATCTAAAGCAAGCAGGCACTTAAAGTGGACAGCTGCAATTTAGGAAGATTCTCTAGAAGCAGAATATCTGCACCCACTCTCTTGGCCTTCCATGGAGGGCCTAAAAACTTGGCTCTGCATATTGGCTTGGGGTTCCCATTGGAGGTTGTTAATGGACTGAGAGAAGGTTCTATCTCCATCCCATGTGTATCTTGCTGCCATCTTTACTATTAAGATGTATACTATCTTAATGTTTTATCTTTTTGTTTTTACTTTGGTGTAAGCCAGCTAGATTCGCCTCTAGCCAAGATGCATGATATGTTAAATAAATAAATATTTAACTGTAATGACAATGGCAAAATATTTCAAGCTGCACCAGAGAAGATAATAAACTAATCCTGTGTTTTACCAAGAAAGCCACATGGATAGACAATATGAATATTGGTGACATAATGCCAGATGATGGGAATCTCTGATTAAATGGCACTTAACATGCTACTGTGTAAGAACTGAAGACATTTCAGAGTGCCAATAGTGTTTATGAAGTAGTTAGGTTAAAGCCTTTGGGGTGTCTAGTTGTTGATGTTGCTATGCAGAAAAAGTATCCGAAGTTACAAAATGGAATTACAGCATGAACATGGAACTTGAGAAAGCATGAAATGAAAATATTACATATTGACATCTTAAGCAATAGCTAACTGAAATGGAATAGAATTGGACACTTCTGGTCAGAAGATTATACTGTTAATTACTCAGAACATGAAAAAAAAGAAGGAATGGTGTTGCTTTCAGGGTCAGGAAAGATATAGCAAATAAAATATTTGGGCAGAATGTAGCCAATGCCTAAATAATATCAATCGGATTTCGCAGTTATCCTTCAGTATGACAATCATTCAAGTTTACATTCCTATCACTGATGCAGAAGAACAGATGGCTGATTAATTTTATGGTGAAGTTCAATTTGAAATCCAACAGAACATGCAGGTAGGATATACTGCTTGGGGGCAGACTGAATATTGAAGTTGGAAATATTAAGGTAGACTATGGCCTAGAAAACTAATGTGAAGCAGGAGAATGACTTAACCAATTTCTGCCAATCCAGTAGTTTACTGCTTGTCTTACGGCAACTGCCTATACAATGGGTAACAACTGCCTATAAAATGCCCATACAATGCCTGTACATGTGGATATTACCAGATAGAGTACACAAAAATCAGATTGTTACAAGATATTGTTACAAGAAGGTGGTAGGCATCAGTTATAATAGCAAAGACATGGTCAGGGGCTTACCGTGAAACAAAATCACAGACTGCTCATGGGCAGGTCCCAGATTAAACTAAAGAGGAAAAAAACCAACCAATTTTCATGATACGATCTTGAGCATATATCTACATTTGTCAAACAGAACATCAGGAATTGTTTTGAATTCCTTAACCTCATTGATAGGGAATCTGGGGAACTGTGGAAGGAAATCATAGAAGTTATTAAGAATAAATGTGAAAAGAGGCACTCAGAGATCAAGAAACAGAAGAAGAATAGAATAGAATAGAAATAGAAGAATAGAATAGAATAGAATAGAGCTGGAAGGGACCTTGGAGGTCTTCTAGTCCAACCCTCTGCTCAAGCAGGAGAACCTATACCATCTCAGATAAGTGACTGTCTAGCCTCTTTTTAAAAATCTCCAGTGATGGAGTGCCCACGATTTCTGGGGACAAGCAATTCCACTGGTTAATTGTCCTCACTGTCAGGAAGTTTCTCCTTAATTCCAGGTTGCTTCTCTCTTTGATCACTTTCCAACCATTGTTTGTTGTCCTGCCCTCTGGTGCTTTGGTGAATAACATGACCCCCTCTTCTTTTTGGCAGCCCCTCAAATACTAGAATACTGCTATCATGTCTCCCCTATTTCTTCTTTTCTTTAGATTAGTCAAACCCAAGTCCTGCAGCCATTCTTTGTATGTTTTAATCTCCAGGCCTTTGATCATCTTAGTTGCTCTTTTCTGATTTTTTTCCAAACATCTCAACATCTTTTTTGTAATGTGGTGACCAAAATTGGCTGCAGTATTCCAGGTGTGGTCCTAGTAGGGTTTTATAAAGTAGTACTAATACCTCATGTGATCTTGATTTTATACCTCTGTTTATACAACCCAGGATTGTATTAGCTTTTTTGGCTTCTGCTGCACACTATTGGCTCATGATTAAGTGATCGTCCACTAGGACTCCAAGGTCCCTTTCACAGTTACTGTTTTTAAGCTAGGTCTTGTCCAGTCTGTACTTGTACCTTTGATTTTTCCGCCTAAATATAAAATTTTGCTTTTCTCCACATTGAAACTCATTTTGTTGGATAGGGCCCATTGTTCAAGTTTGTCAAGAACTTTTTGGATCCTGAGTTTGCTTCTGGGGTGTTGGCTACTCCTGCCAGTTTGGTGTCATCTCTAAATTTGATGAGTTCCCCTTTAATTTCCTCATCTAAGTCATTGATGAAGATACTGAAGATATTGGGCCAAAGACAGAACCTTGTGGTACCCCGCTGCTTACTTCTCTCTAGAAGTAAAACTGGATGTCAGAACAAAATAATGGAATTTGTTAAAAAGAGATATCAAAACTAAGAAAGACAAAGATCTAAGGAAGGAATTTAACAAAGAATTTCATATAGCTAGTAGAAGAGACAACAAGGAGTATTACATCTGTAAAGACAATAAAGATGGAAACAGACATGAAAAAGCGAGGCAAGTCTTCAGAAGATCTCCAAAGGTGTTGGAGGTTTGAACCTCAAATAGCTACTGTACACAAAATGAACAGATAATACTTTATTTCAATATGAATAAACAAAGATGGAAGGGGTATAGTGAAATTCTATACAGTACAGATATTAGTATCTGAGATATTTTAGAATAGCAGTCCCCAACCTTTTTGGTTCCAGCAGGAGCAGCAGTGGCATGGGGGGGGGGGTTGTGCGCGCAACCTAGTTCCTGCAAATGTGCAAATGAATCTTCGCATGCTCGCCCACTGCTTGCACAGCCTGGTTCCCAATGGGCCATAGACCGGTCTGCAATCCGGGGGTTGGGAACCTCCGCCTTAGAAGATATAAGATAAGATAACCTTTTTTGTCATTTTTATACTGCGGGCACGATGGCAACTTAGAAGCACTTCTAGTACTAGAAAATGAAGTTAGATCAGCACTCTAATTGTTATCTAATTCCAGTGTGATTAGTGAAATTTAAATGCTTAATATATTGTATTTGCATACTTCAATTTCAGTGAGAATTGGCTTGCATGGCTGATTGTGAGTGATGCATTTTTGTGTAATCCTATTCATGTTTAATCTTTAATCTGTAGTCTGTTTCAGAGGAAAATCATTGAGCTGCGGTGTTGGAGAAGGCTCCTGTGTATTCCTTGGACCGCAAAAGTGACTAGCAAGCAAGTACTGGAGCGTATAACACCAGACATGTCACTTGAAGGCAAAAATCACAAAACTGCATCTCAATTAATTTTGGCCATGTCATGTGGGGGAATTTATTGGAGAAAGCAATTATGCTTGGAAGAGTTAGCAGTAAAAGGAAACTAGGCTGCCAAAGAACACAATGGCTGGATGCCATCAAAGTGAATACCAGCCAGGGCATAGTAACAACTCAAAGAAGTAAAGTAGTGCAAGATTGGAAGACATGGAGAGACCCGGTCCATAGAATTGTCAAGAGTCGGACATAACTGAATGGATAATATCATCATCATGTTCAGTTTTACTTATTCTACTGCAAGTACATACGTAATATTGTAGAGCTGATAGAGAAGGATGCTTTTTTGGAACTATTAGGAAATATTGCAAGAAACATCTTTAAGACCCAACTAATAATAAAAAATAACAAAATTTCTTCATTTCCTCCTAAGCTAGATGGCAAAATTGCAATTCTTATCTGTCATTTATTCAAGAATTTAGAAAATCTTGTCAATTTTTAATATTTCTTTATCTTCTAGATCTGATATTTTGCACCTTAATTTCAGGGTGACAAACCTCAGTCCTTATAAAAAATGAAAATCTATCTATTGTTATATGAATGGATTTCAGTTCTTTCCTTATAACTGCTCCATGTCTGCTCCAAAATACTGAATTAATAAGGAAAACATGATAGATTGAAGAAGAACAGAGGTATTAGCAGCAAATAGAAAGAAATGAGAAAAAAATAGGCCAAAAGATGGGAAAGACCATTGGGAAGGATGATAACAGGGGAGGAAAAGATTCAGGGGGGTAGTGAATGCATAGTCTTTCAGAGAAATGAAAAGATGACAATACAATGAATAGAGGTAGTGACCCAGAAAGAAAATGTTGGTGAATATGTAGTGCAAATGGATTATCAGAGATCTCATGTGGCCTCAGTGTAGAGTCAAAGGCTTTTAAAATGAGGGTGCACCCTCACCTGAGAATTGCGGTATAATAAAATGCACAAGTGGAGATGATACTTGATAAGTCTGTATAAGAAATATCTACAGTAGGTATATTGGACTAGATCTCCATGGTGCATTTTAATTCAGTGATTTTATGATTGTCTGGAGGAGTTTTGAGAATATATCCAGATATCAAGAAGATCAAGGGAAAATTAATGATCATATTTCAGAAAACAGATCTTCAGATGGATCTGAAGTTAATAACAAATCTAAATAAATAAAGCCTAGCAAGAAACATGTTAGCAGAGAAACAGCATTCTTTACAGGGGATTCTTCAAGTTTGATTGCACTGATTCTTTAGTAAATATATTTGAAAGAGAATGGATATTATATCATAGAAACTTTTAGGAAGATAATTTAGTAACTTCATGTTAATTCCATAGACGAGAAAACGAGAAAAGTACAGGATAAAAAGGCTTAGAGTTTGCAATTCTCAGAACTGTAGACATCATGGTTACTTTCCACATATATTCAGAGTCTTGGCACTGTCTCAGCATGGGTAGAATCAGGCATAATTTCTGCAGTACTCTTTATTCTCTTTATATACCGTCTGGTGAAATCAACATGGTTAAGAACAATTTTTAGAAAAGTTGGAACAATAATCAATAGAGAGAAATTAGTTCCATTGTGTTAAGATAATATGATTATTGTTGAAACAGAGCAGAGAGAATAGAAAAAGGCTACTGCCCATATAAATAAGCCTTTTACTGTTATTGTTGAGGTTCTAATGGCTCATCTTTATTACAATATGTATTTTGAGGATCAGACCAAAATGGCATATTTTAAACAGTTTTTATAAATGGGACACATACCATAACATAATGCAAATCCTGTTTTGTGGGTGGAAAAAAAATTCTTCAGGAAAAAAATTGGTAACCAAGAAGAATATTCAGGCAAAAAGCTTTCTTGCAATTTGAGAAAAAGGACTATGAAGAATATCATTCCTAGACATGTGGTACCCAAGCCTAACTCTGCTGTCCTATTTGATTCACTTAATTCCAGAGCAATTTACTTAGACACAATGAAATTGCTGGAATGAGGAAAGAGTTTACCACTGAAGAGGTGTGCATCAGGAAAAGACTAAGGTATAACTGCTTAGGTATAAGGTATAAATACTTTGGCCACCTAATAAGAAGGAAGGACTCACTGGAGAAGGGCCTAATGCTGGGAAAGATGGAGGGCAAGAAAAGAAGGGGACGACAGAGAATGAGATGGCTGGATGGAGTCACTGAAGCAGTAGGTGTGAACTTAAATGGACTCCAGAAGATGGTAGAGGACAGGAAGACCTGGAGGAACATTGTCCATGGGGTCGCGATGGGTCGGACACGACTTTGCAATTAACAACAACAATAACTGCTTGTTCTATGTGCTGTTCTGGAATAGCAGTAAACCAAAAGCAGTCTAGTATTAGTTGATAGCAAGGCTTCCTTTGAGCACATACATGGAAAACCAAGGTTAGTCTAGATGGTTTACTCATTTGGGTATAAAAATAATAAAGCAAGAACTAAGCAAACATTAATTTATATATTGCTTCTGGATAAAATGGATTATCTAGATCCTTTTCAGTACATGCTCAGGCCTGGAAATGGGATGGAAATGGCAGTGGTCACACTTTTGATAAACTCTGGCGAGGGGGAGGGAGTAGTGCATTCATCTTTGCTGTACTTGACCTCTCAGAGAACTTCAATATCATCGACCATGATATCCTTCTGGAGCAGCTTTGGGTATGGGAGTGGTGGGTTCTGTGCTGTCCCAGTTCATTTCCTTCCTCTGTGGCTGCTTGGGGTTGATAGGAAGTAAGAGGTCCAGTCCTCATCCATTGTTTTGCAGAGTTCTGCAGTTCAGTACTTTCTTCACTTCTGTTTAACAATATGTGAAGCCACTGGGTGAGATCATCCGCCATCATGGACTGAGATATCAATATACTGATGACACCCAGCTGTATGTTTCGGCTCTTGGTGAATTAAGCAATGCCATGATCTCCCTCCTGCAGTGCTTGGAGGCTGTTAAGGGCTGGCTGAAACTGAACCCTGGCAAGAACGAGTGACTCTGCATTTTGAATTCTTTGGTCTATGGAGAATTGCCACCTTTGGTCTTAGATGGCACTGTCCCAAACAGACCCAATGTGTAATCGGAGAGTTCTTCTGGACTCATGACTCCTGCTCAAGAAGCAGATGGCAATCGTAGCCAGGAGGTCTTTTATGCAACTGCAGGTTGTGCACCAGTTACTCCTTTCCTGGACCAACAATCTCTGTTAACAGTCACTCATGTCCTAGTCACCTACCATTTTGACTTTCTGAGGATGGATGACTTTGCTCCAGGCTTTTCAGAATACTCTGCTTTAGCATGAGATGCTGCTGCTTCATTACCACTACTCTGGACTTAAAACTACTAACCCGTGAGCCCCCAAGGGTTAGTATCTTGGGTCTTTAGTATCTTGGTGATGGCTAGTGCCCTGGCCCCATTGTCTAAATCCCAGTGACTTGATCTGCTTTCATTTGCTTGGGCCTTTGGCAAGGATTCAATTGACGTCTGAAATTCTTTGTTACTGCCATCATCTGCACTGTTCAACATACACTGTTCTCAAAACTGCTAGTTTGTGACTGCATCTTCCTTCAGTTGTCATTTTCTGCTGAGCAATTGATTCATCCACCTGATTATGAAGGCTAGGACATTTAAGGTAAAAGGGGAAGAAAGGGCAGATGTATTTCTACATTGTGTATCTTTCACTCCATAATACCTGTGATAGAACAAGTATTGCCAATAGGAGCATATTTTATACTGGTGCAGTTTAACTTAGCCACGAGAAAGAAAACTAACTACACACACATACACACACACACACACACACACACACACACATATATGTATATCTTATCTGTTGGGTGAAGTACCCGGTCTACCAATATATGTATATATGTATATATACACAAACAAAATTTATAAAATTTCTTGATTTTTTTCTAATTGATACTATATTTGCATGTATCTCTGAAGATACTTGTGTAAAATTGGAAAGCAGGTAGAGATGAGGAATACAGCAGAAAAAACTAGACTTAATGTAATTTTGATTTACTTTGGTAATATAATCAGAGATAGCTTTTTTTAGCAACTTTTGATATTGTTTTGATAACTTAATTTCTAATCATTTTCTTGTATATTATCTAAAAATAAGATCGGGCAATATTTGAAAATGAAATGTTTGCCATAAGTCAGTGGTGGCGAACCTATGGCACGGATGCCAGAGGCAGCACTCAGAACCCTCTCTGTGGGCATGCGCGCCATCGCCCCAGTCCTAGGCCTTCAGCTAGGTTTTATAAAATCTTTTTGCTTTAGGCCTCCGCCGCTGTGTGCAAAAAAAAAAAAGTTCAGTCAATTTCAACTTCTCGTGGGGAAAAAAAAAGATCTTGCAAAGTTGGAATTGATTGAACTTTTTAGTCCCACCCAATCTGCTGTTACCACTGCGGCCACGCCCACCCAATTGGCCGTGCCCAGCCAATGGGCCACACCCACCCGGCACTCGACGATGCATAAGTGGGTTTTGGGTTGCAGTTTGGGCACTCAGTCTTTAAAAGGTTCGCCATCATTGCCATAAGTGATAGAAATGAACTGTTCGTTGTTTTATGTACATTGGTTTCTAAACAGTAGTGCACTTAAATTTATTGTCTAATTTGTAAGGCAAATAAAAAGCATGTAATAGTCACCTCTCATCCACACATTCAGCACACTAGGAATCTGTAATATGTGAGAGATATGTTGAAATATTAATATCACATGAAAAAGCTGATAACTAGCTAATATCCCATTAAAGAAGAGTATCCTACTAGTGAATCGTTCTTACCTATACTATATAGGCCTTATGTTTGAGATTGGCTGCGTCAATTTGCCTAATATATTATTTGAAGTTTTATTCTTTGACTTTTGTTATTTAAAGAATGTTCAAAATCTGCTGCTCTATAAAACCCAACAAATGCAGAGAGCAATTAAAGATTACAGAATTAAAAGATTATGCTGAATAACTGAATGGTATACAAGACAATAGAATATAAATTCAAAGTGCATTATTTAAAATAAAAGCATAGATGGAGATAAAATATGCAGAGATGTAAGGTATTCTAATTTGTTATCTTTGGGCAGTGATGGACAAATCTTTGGAATCTGCAAATCTTCAAAGATACCAGTGTAGCTGATAAATATACATCAATATGATAAATCTTCAGAGACAATGGAAACTAATTGAATAGAAAGAAAAATACAGATGGTGAGAGTCAGAAAGAGATAACATTAAGGAAGTAAGATAACCATATAGGCAAAAATAGCTGGGTCTGAGAAAGGAAGAGGAAAGTCATAAAATAGATAAATAGTTTTTTTAAGGAAATGGCTAGCCAGGAGTATAGGAAAGTAGGAAACCAGGCCAAATAAGATAAGAAGAGAATGATGAATTGAAATGATGAATTGAATTGAAAAGCAGGAAAAGAACTTATTGTTTAATGGGGACATAAATATATTTGAGTTTAAAAATAACCATAAGAAAATAATTTTTCTTATTCTTATTGTATAAGTGAATATGATTTAGTGTGTTATCAGGAAATGTGTA